CAGATTTTTTATTTTAATTAATATTTTTATAAAATAAATATTTTTTACTACCCTAATTCATTTCCAAAAAAAAATTTATTTGTTTTCTCCCTCCCTCCCTCCCCTTCTGCTACCGGCGACAGATATTAATTCATCTAACCCAAACCTAAAACCCTAATTTTATCCTCTCCTTCCACTCCCCTCTCTCTCTTTCCCACCTTCTCTTCCCCGCCTCTCTCTCTCTCTCTCTCTCTCTCTCTCTCTCTCTTCTCTGGAGACACATATGCTGCGACCACCGGCATGGCAAGATGCTGCTACGACCGTCGTTGGAGACATAGAGATCGACCACTACTGCGAACTCCCGTCGCGAACTCTTCCCCTCTTCTTTCTTTTCCCCGCCTTTCTCTCGTTTCTCTCCCCTCTCCCTCACATAGCCGCAGCAGTCGAAGACAGCAAAAGTCGTATGGCAAATGGGCAGCGGAGATTCGAAACCCTTCATGTCCTCTCTCTCTTCCTCGCTGTGCACATCATCAACGGAGTCGCTCAACCCAACGACATCGTCTTGCGCAGTGGACTGTATCTCTTCCACTGCGTATGTGGTGGTGGTTATGTTGTGTGAGGTGATTGAGGTTGAGAATGTGTCGACAACACTTGGTGTGGGTTGATGTGGCCGAAGGTGGCAAATCGCAGTGAGAGGTGAGAGATCGAAAAAATGGCAGTGAAGGAGACGATGGGTTGTGGCTATTAGTAGTTTGTTTGTTGATTTGGATAGGTGATGGTGAAATTATGGTGGCCAACGATGATGTAGTAAGTCGATTGAAGGAAGACATGGGAATAGACGGTGGTTTCTTTGGTGGTTTGAAAATGGTGGCGGCAAAAGATAGGACAACCAACGACTGTGAGGTGATGGCGATTGTGGGGTGTTGGCGATTTTAGATCTGATTTGTTGGTGGTGAGGTGGTACTAGTTATGGTGGTTAAGTAACAGTGATGATGTTGTGATGGTGGTCGTGGTCACAAATGGAGGTGCTGGTGAGGTGGTGTTGGCGACGGTGGCGATTGTATTGCTGAGGCAGTCATGAGGTAGTGTCGTGAAGGTTGGTTGTGGTTACAAATTTTTTAGTTAACTGTGACCATTTAATTGGTTAATCTGTGACCAATAAATAATATGTGACTAATGAGAAATATAAATTGTGACCAAGAAATAATGTATAACCTAGAAAATTGTTCATTTGTGAACGATAATTTGACAATTTACTAAGTTGTGACTTATAATATTTGTGATTTGTGACCGATAAATAAATATGACGTATAAATCTTTTTATCTGTGACCGATAAACAAATTGTGACTTATAAAATTTTTAAATTATGACCGTAAAAATATTGATTTGTGACTTGTGACCTGAGTTGTGACTCTTGACTTTTGACTTGTGATCTGAGCTGTGACTTGTGACTGGGTTGTGACCGTAAAAAAAACATGTCAACCGTACAAAAAAATATAGCGGAGTTGTCGTTGGAATATTCGCTGGAGTTGGAACAATTGCCGGAACCGGAGCAGTCGCCTAAAAAAATCATCGCCGGAACGATCGCCGGAATAGTCGCTGGAATAGTTGTCGGAACGGTCACCGAAATCGGAGTAGTCGCCGGAACGGTCGTCGAAAAGTTCGCCGGAGTAGGACGGTGATCGGAACGGTTGTCGGAGCGGTAGGTGTGGTGAAGGTGGGATGAGTTAATTATATTATATTAGAATTAAATATTTAATAATAAATTAATTTAATAATTTATTATTACATAAATAAAAATTTAAATTTTTTTAATAAAAATCTGATTTTGGAAATTCAAACTTGTTTTCTTATTTTTGAAACATGCTAAAATTATTCTCTTGAATAGATAATCTTCCCTTGAAACAATGTGCAACTAATTTAAAAGGTTAGGACAACTTATGTAGCCTAATTTGAGTGATTTAATCTCAATCATTTTGTTTTGACATTAAACTTGAGTTTGTATTAAATTGTTGTTGCGGTTAAGGTTGAGCGTTGATTGGGTTGAGTCGATTTTTTATCTAATTCAAATACAATCCAACACGATCGATTTGATCTAAAATCAAACCAATTCAACCAACTATTGGTTTAAACCCAACCCATACCAATCAAGTTTGAGTCGGTTTTGATTGGGTTGGTCGATTTGGGGCTTGGGTCCAATTCAAGTTGGACTCGAGTATCTTTTTAATTTTTATTTTTTTTGTGAATTTGAATAATTTTTTACGGTTTAAACCACTTGAAAACCTCGATTATTTGTAACATATATAAGGATTTTTTTTTTCAGAAAAATAATGTATAAATAAGTTTGAAATTATGAAGCATTTTCTTTTTTATATATATATTTTGAAGATTCATTGATTTCATCATCGTATTCTTAATTTTAAATTTATCGTCGAATAACTTTATATTTGTACATAGTATTCATGTCAGTTGGCCTATGTAAAAAAAAAAAAAGGACGTTGTA